ACAAGAGAGAGACAGAAATGGGAGAGGGAATCAGGCTCACTAATTTCAGAGGACAGCTGGTGGGGAATATGTGAGTCTCAGGCTACCACTGCAAATTCAAGGTCCTTAAGAGAGTTTGGTTGGAAGAATGTAGTGAGATTCTTTATCCTCCTAAACTACAGCTCGGCAACAGCTCACTAGGCCAAGAGCCTATGTTGGAGAGGTTGTGGAACCCCCATGGCAAACCATTTTCATGTATTCTGGGCTGCCCAAGGATCCTGCATTTGGGGGGAGGTGCCCTTAATATACAATTGGTGGATTAAATGTCTATCATGTTGATACGTTGTATCTTGGCAATTGCCTCGGCACTCCAATAAATAATTATTTATTGAAATACTTTTTTGGTGACGTGGCACGGTGTTACACTGCCGACAGCAGAAGTGTTGGTTCAATTCGATAGGTTACCGGGGTCTTTCTGTGTGGAGTTTGCATGTTCTCCCCGTGTTTGCGTGGGTTCCCTCCGGGTACTCCGGCTTCCTCCCACCGTCCAAAGACATGCAGCTTGTGGGGATAGGTTAATTGATTAATCCAAATTGTCACTAGGTGTGAATGTGCGAGTGAATGTGAGTGTGAATGGTTGTCTGTCCCTGTGTGTTGGCCCTGCGACAGACTGGCGACCTGTCCAGGGTGTACCCCGCCTCTCGCCCTATGACAGCTGGGATAGGCTCCAGCGCCCCCCGCGACCCTGAAAAGGATAAGCGGAAGCGAATGGATGGATGATGGATGGACTTTTGGCTGGCTGCAGGAAGGCCATAACCCGAAGATGGCAAAAGGCAGACCCTCCAACTAGGGCCCAATGGCGTGGGGTAGTGGAAGAAATTTTTGGAATGGAAAGACTTACCTTTGCCCTTAGACTCGAGCTTGAGAAATTTAAGAAGCTCTGGGAAAAATGGGTTGTGTACTCCCTTTGTACTGAATAATTGAATATTACCATGATGTAAGAAGATGCTATTACTGGAATTGTGTATGTCTCCTATGCTGACTGTAAGTTTTGTATTCTCATACTGTAAACTGACAAATAAAAAGTTATAAAAAAAAAAAGAAAGCACTTAGAACAATGTGCTTGTGCGAATGGGGGTGAATGCACAAGTTGTGTGAAGCACTTTGAGTGCTGATTCATAATTTAATGCAGATTTAACAGTCAAATCAAAAGAAAGAGAGGCTTAATTCTAGCATAAAAATTAAACTACTAAACTCTCATTTTTCTGTGCCTGCCAATATGATCAATGCCTCTGGCTTTCCCAGCCAGTAGCCTGAACAAAGGCTATTCTCATTATGGATACAGCAAGCAAAAGAAAACAATAAAATTCACTTACCCTACAATGTTGATACCATATCAGTCAGTAAATCAAGCCACTTGATTCAAGCCACTGTTTGTCACTTAATGCAGATACAGTGTGCCAACCTAGTGTAAATACATTAACTGCTAAAGGACTGTAAAAAAGGGTCTGGGATTGCCATTGACAAAGTCAACATGTTTACAGTATATTTAAAATTAAGGGAATGTTTAGTTAGTGCTAAATAAATAAAATACTAGAATTTCATTCATCAAAACCGAGACAAAAAATTACTGACCGTAGCACGTGGTAGAGATGTCCAGTTCAATGACTCCAGTCATGAGTGGACAGGCCTAACTTTAGGCAAGTTCTAAAACCATTTATCCATCGACATCCATTGATCTATACGGGGTGAAATAAACTAGAGACAAATTCCCTTTGTGTACCAGGCTGTGCGCATGTCTGTATTTTAACATGGAGTCTAGTAGGGCTGGGAAATATGGCCTAAAATTCATATCTCTATATTCTTT